TTGCCTATGTTAGTGGTTTTTTGTCAAAAAGACCAAAAATACAGTGACACAGCTTTAAAAAAAAAAAAAAAAAGTCAAAAGGCAAAAGTACACCAAACATCCAACATCAGATTATCCACATTAGCAACAAAATAATCCCTATCAGAATAACATTCACTTTTCAGGCTCCTCTATTCCAAGATTACACTCTGCTCCTCATATGCAGGAATAATTAGATGAACTCAGGTAACCTTTATGCGGGTGTGAGTGCTGCAGGTCACTTGTGTTTTTATAATGAGTCATGACTAAACTGTCTTGCAACTCCATGTGGATCTAAATGCCAGGCTGCGACACGACAGGCTGAAAGAACTGGCCAGCACTGACAGAGCTTATCTTATCACACACACATGGCTTTATGCGGTTACAGAACAACTAGATAACTTCAAACTTGACGGCGAGGAAATATTCGCCTTGAAATTAAAATATGTATAAACTGCAAGAATTGTGATCGTTATTTAAATGGGTGAAATCTGGCAGCAAAACACTGCAAAGTAAAACTACTGCTGCAACTCAGAGAGCTGGAGCCATACTAGCTTGCTAGCATGCTTAGTTAGCTACATTTGTGTCGCAGTGAAAAAAAAATGTTTTAGGTCTGAATGTGGGAGAATTTTCATTAACAACGAAGTGATTATAAAAGTCAACTTTATCCACGCTGACAACGTCGTGTTTAATTTAGAGACTGCAGCTAAGCTAAGCTAGTTAGCTGCTGACATTGGCAGCAGGAGTCAGTAACGGTTCTCTGTTCTTACCTGCAGGAGGATCAGTCTGTGGATTTAGCGACACTTTTTTCTGCTTTCTGCTCCAAAGGAGGGCGTAAAGTGCATCTGTAAATGAACGCAGGCTGTCTGCTCCTCCTTTTCCTGGGGGGAAAAAAATGCAGCAGAATTGACTTCAGGTGAAGGGATTTAGACGGACTCTATTGTTTGTCCGTTAAAGCAGCACATTTCAGCTGAAGGTAGCTGCTGGTCCTACATCCGGTCCGGCCCCTCATTTATTTCCACGGATCGATAGGAAAACCCAGTCCTGATCTACGGAAGTGGATTAGGGCCACTGAAAAAAATAAAAAAACTTCACTGATTTTTACATTTTATTTCAGTTTAATATGGTAAATGGCATGTACTTATATAGCGCCTTTATTCAAGTTAGGAGACCTGACCAAAGCGCTTTACACTACATTCATTCACCCATTCACACACACACTCATGGTGGCAAGCTACATTGTAGCCACAGCTGCCCTAGGGCTCACTGACAGAAGCGAGGCTGCCGTACACTGGCGCCACCGGGCCCTCTGACCACCATCAGTAGACAATGCAGGTGAAGTGTCTTGCCCAAGGACACAACGACAATGAAAGTCGGAGTCGGGGCTTGAACCGTCAACCCTTCGATTACATCCAACGCCACTGTCGCCCACATATGGGGAAAATGTCAGCATTCTGAGATTGAAGTCAAAATTCTCAGGATGCCGACTTTTTTTCCCCTCAGAATTCTGACTTAAAATAAAATTAAAGTCAGAATTCTGAGGAAAAATTTCAGAATTCTGAGATTAAAGTCAACATTCTTAGATCAAAATCACAATTCTGAGGGAAAAGGTCAGAATTCTGAGATTAAAGTTAGAATTCTGAGATTAAAGTCAGTATTCTGAGGAAAAAAGTCTGAATTTTGAGATTAAAGTAAGAATTCTGAGGAAAAAAGTTAGAATTCTGTGATTAAAGTCAGAATTCTGAGAAAAAAGTCTGAATTCTGAGATTAAAGTCAGAATTCTGAGAAAAAAGTCAGAATTCTTAGATTAAAGTCAGAATTCTGACTTTTTTCCCATATTAAACTGAAATAAAATGTAAAAATCAGTAATTTTTTCTCCCAGTAGCCCTAATCCTTTCCTGACTTCTGGTCTTATTGGGTTTTTCTCATTTTCCCTCATATTACACCCATTCAGCTAAAAAAGCTGCAATCAGCTCTACATATTTTCTTTGTTTTTTAATACAGCTGTAGTATCTGGTTCTTTGAAAGTGAACCAAGTCTCCTATTTCCTAAATATGTACTAATCTGATTCAGATACCTCCTTAAAATCTAAAAGAACGGGACAGAGCAAACCAAGCTTGCCATCATGGGCCTCCAAATATTACTCCATTTTCTTTTTTCTTTTTTTTTTTACCCATACAATGTGCCTAAACACTTTAAAAAATATGAATAAAACTGAAATTTTGCTTTAGCAAAACAAAAACAAAATAAAAATTGAAACACATAAGTCATCTAGTTTGATTTAAAGTTGTATTTGTTATTAGGATCTCAATTTGTTGTCCAAAAGCAGCAACTAGTCTTCCTGGGGTCCAGCGCCCCAGAAAATACATGAGAACTGTTAAAAAAAAAGAATAAAAGTAACAGTATACACTAAAAATATAATAAAAGTGGAAAAAAAAGATAAAACAACAATGAAACTTTCAGTAAGACCTAATAATATTCATTCAAAAAAAAAACAAGGTTTCGAATTTTGGTAGTTATGGGTTACAGTTATTTAAAACTCCACATTCAGTTCTCAGAGTTATTTTATTAATGTTAACTAGGATTAATTTATATATACATTCTTTTAATTTAGTGAAGTTGTGTCAGGATGTAAGGGCTAAGCACCCATTACGTCCTGAAGGGCCTCACTCCTATCAAAATTTGTCCAGGGTTGCCTCACTTTCTAGATCTTTATATCGGTAGCTTGCTTTTTAAGTTCTATGCTTAACTACAGTTTTTTTCTTCTTCTAAAGAAACAAAAACAAAGCGTATTTCTATGTCAGGGTTTTAAAACACATGACATACTTAAAAAGGAAATATTTCCTAAATATATATATTGTATATTCTATATATTATAAACAATTCCTTTCCAAGCAACTAATATGCAGTATTCTGATTAAAGATCAAATGAAAGGCTTCAAATAAAATAAAATAAACATCCCTTTTTGTGGCCTTTACTTTAATAACACTACTCTGTTTTATTTCATATCTGGTTTGGTAAATAACAGCCAAATTAGAGGACTAAATATTACACTCGAATTGGATGTTTAAATGGAGGGAAAAAGGAATCATCTTCAAATTGATTATAGAGAAAAGCACTTTTAAAAGTTTCCTTTTTTTGAACATCTTAGATGCCACATGGTCTGACTGGAAGCCATCTACTGATACATCAGTTGTTGCAAAGGGAGCCCTCACCATACAAAGAGTGCTTTCATTTTGCATTCCAATGTTTTGTTTCTGTTTAAAAACTCATTTTCCTGCTAGGATGCAATATTTCATATCTTCTAACAAACATTTTGGGTGTCATGATCCTCAAAAGCAAAAAAAAAAAATGCTTCACATTTGAACACATTGCAATACACAAACTATATACTGTATTCTAACTTATAAAGATATACCTATAGCAGCTGGCACATAGATGTTGAGTAATTTATGTTTTCTAATCTTCTTCAGTCCAGCCTTTTTTGCACATTCCTTCTCATCTTCAGCCCTCTGCTGGTGAATATGGAGTACTGCATCTCATCTCTGATGCAGAGCTTTAACAGCCCAATTGCACTGCTTCAGCACATTTATTTTTTTCTTTCCTTAGTGTCCTTTAAAGCACTTTGGATTGGCTTCAATGGGGCTATATTAATAAACTAGGCTAGTTGAACAAAGTAAACATTTTTCCTGTAGTTCACTCCCCCCAAAACAAAGTTTTAACCTTGCTGCAGTGTTAAGGCCGTAGTCGGCCAGACAAAGCCTTGCCTGGTTATCTGGGCTAATGCTGCTAGTCTTATTGTGGATTAGTGCTGGCCGAAGAGAGCTTTGTCACCTGGCTGCCTTCACTAAAGGAAGAAACAATCTGGCATTACAGCCAAGACATTCCAACCTTTCTAGAATTTTATTAAGCCTGATATAAAAATATGATTTGATGCATTTCTTACTAGGTGTATGTTTAGGTTATTTTTATTTTGGATACTTGCCAATTAGAATATTTTGGCCAATTCCCCCCATGAGCATTTGTGAAGAGTTACTTCCATGGATGCATGAATAAATTCCCTCTGGCCCACTACAGAGAAACCACATGCAATGTGTTGCTAATACTCTTCTGGTATTTTTCTTAGCACATATTTGTTCCTTCTTTTCATCAGAGATGAGAGCAGTCATTTAAACCTTTTCGTTTTCCTCACAGACCTTTTAGCCTGATGTTAGAGCTGCAGCTTTTGATTTTAACAGGTTAAACATATATGTTGAAGTATTTGGAGGTGGGCATCTCCTCAGCATGATGCTGCCACTATTGTACTTTACTGTTGGTATAGTTATTGTTTATACAGGCCTTCTTATGTGACCAAATAGATCTTTCCTGTCTTTGGCCGGAAATTAGCTTTTTCATTTTGGCAGTTTGCAAGCAGGGGATCCATTTAAAAAAAAAAAAAAAAAATCAATACCCCCGTCTGTATTTATGCTACTGTATGTTACCTTGTGGTTTATTATAAGCTTTCAGCCTTTGTAGCTAAGTAGCTTAGCACCCTTACTAACAGTTTTGGGTGCAATGGTTTAAACTTGGACAAAACTAGAAGTTCCAATAAAAAAAAGTACCTACACTGGTTTTGGGATGGATAATAAAACATTACGCTCTTGGAAATGGTGTTCAAAATCTCTGACGCCAGCTGAAGTTAGGTCTTTGCTTCAAATTTATTTCTATTCAGAAACCCGGAAGGCCAGATATAAGCTAGCGTTATTACAGAATGTTGATGATGGCTCTAAAACGTGAGAAGTTTCCCAGCAAAGGATATTTATTAGTGGGTGTGCATGCATATAAACGAGCCAGTATTGATTATTTCCTTAAAGAAAATCTCTATACTTTGGACTTCTTGAAATATCTGCAGCATAAATAAAATATATGCATTTTGGAGACCACCTTGAAAACAACTAAACATGTAAACAAACAAAGAAACAATAAAAACAGAACCAAGACATTTTCAGTAAAAGATTAATCATTTATTTTTTTATTTCATCACATTGCTCTACAAATGAGCAATAGTTAAAAGGTTTGGCACTTGACCCTCTAACACTAATTGTAATTTTCTGCTAAAACATTCATGACAAATATAGTTTCTATTAGATTTTTTTTCCTCCTCTCTAACCCTGTTAAGGCTATACAGTGTGGTCTCTCGTAGGGACTCTTTATGATGCAGGACAACAGAGTCAGAAACGAAAACGGCGATCACTTGTGAATATATCAAAGATTATCTGTGCAAATACCTCAATTTGAGATAGGACATGAATCTAACACACCTGCTAGTTCAAGAAAGCATTGCATAATTAAAAAAAGTGATTAAAAATAACCGCTTTTTACATCAGTTATCAACATGATCCTCATTTAAGTTACATTTTGTTAAAAAACAAAACAAATCAAGGTAGAATTAACAGTGTTAATAAAACTAGATGAGGTGCATAAGATGTTAAACATTTTACGGGAGGTGCAAAAAAAAAAAAAATAAGATGAAAAAATTAATGATGTGATAACAGCCCACTGGAAGGCTGCTCTAATGCCGTTACAAACATGAGACTGTTGTGCTTCTAAGTAGATTACTAATCCTGATCAGCCAAAACAGGCAAATGCATTGTCATGCAAAGAAGACAGGTTTTCATTTACAGAGCGCTGGAATGAGGTGCTTTATGAAGGAGTTAATTTTACTATTCTAGGACAATTTAAGTACAATTCTATCACTTTTAGATTTTATGTTATTATTTTGTTCTAACTGGAGGACAGATGTCATCAACACAGACCAACACTGACACGTATGGCAGTGATACCAGGGTGATCCTGCTGACATGGTTAGACGCTCTCTGAGGTTCGGTAAGGCTCTTTAATGAGTAAGTCCTACATGTGTCCAGACGCCCGATTGATTCTGTAACAATGTTTTTTTTTTTTTTTATGTTCACAGGAAGTCTACGGCTTTTGGTCCGAAGTCTTCTCTATGACCTTAGCTTTGACAGCGATGGAAGGGTTTTCGATATCCGCTTTGCTCTGGACCATCCTCAGCTCCAGCTGAGCTGGACTGGGCTTCTTCCCAGGGCCGGCCATCTCTGCAGGGAAAGAGATGCAGTTACCAAACAAAATCTCACATGTTTGGCTCTTTGCAGCTTTCATAAAAAAAAAAAAAATCCATCTCAACTTGTTCACATTTTGTCACATCTCAACCAAAACCTATAAATAGTTTATCTGGATTTTTTTAACGACAGGGTAAAAGTATAGCATAAATGGGAAGTTTAAAGGAAATTATCAGCATTTTCTACATGTCTACATTTTTATAATTAAAGTCTTAATGTGGCAAGAAGCCCTTCTACTCAGACACCTGTAAAAAATTAAAATAAATCCAGTTAAACAAATCTCCCTCAGAAGTCCTTGTTAATAAAAATAAATTCCTTATGTTTAGAATTATCTCTCAGAATAAGTCCAGCTGTTCTTTGTTGGAGAACAGTTTTGATACAAAAGCATCAGAAAGAATAAAAATCTAAACTAGGGTTAGCTTATGAAGCAATGCACGCTTTATATACATCTCCCAGATATCTTTGTAATCCATCTTCTGAGGAGGCCACAGCTGCAACCCGACCGAGATACGACCGTCCACCCAAACTCGGCTCCAAATAAGGGAGGAGACGGATGGGCCCACATACAGGGCAAGAAAACCTGTTAAGAGTTCTACATGAGAGTTGGGTGGAGGTTCGCTTCCAGAGGAACGAATGAAATCAAATCACATTCATGAATTAAGATCATGTTTACATACACCTCAAATCCGACTGAACTGGAGGTCATTTCTAAGGAAGAATAAGCAGTTTGAGATAAACGCTGAAAGAGGCACAGCTGCTGCTCGAGAAAAAGGTGGTTCTGCAAACTACTAACTCATTTGGGCTGATTGTATACAGTAAACCCTCGCTATGACGTGGTTCTCCTTTAGCGGCCTAGCAGCTTCACAGATTGCATTGTGTTCTGCATTCTGACTGGCTAAACAGTCTCCACGCATCTTCTCTACCTGTGTGTCAATAACGTTGGGGTTTAATAGACATATACAAATGCTTTGCCAAATATAAGTTTGCACCGACAAAGGCACATGCGGATGGGCCCAATAGGCAGAGGAAGATGTTAACTATCGTAGAATAAGTTAAACTTCTGGGCATGCTTAAGGAGGGTAGAAGCTATGCGGCTGTAGGTCGCCATAACAAAACTAATGAATATTCCGTTTGTTTCATAAAGAAGTTGGAAAATAACATAAGGATGACAGCAGCAAAAAGTTTTAATAAGGATGCAAAAAAGGGCTGCAACTGTCCACAACAAGACCGTGGCTAGGATGGAGGCTGCATTAGCTTTATGGATTAATGAGTGCAGAAAAAAAGAACATTACGCTAGATAGGAACGTTATCTGCACAAAGCTAGATAACGGTATCAAACTGACAGCGATGACATTCACGACAGAAGAGGAGGAGGATGCAGATACCGGGCCATTAATGAGTGCTGTTCACACAGTACCAAGCGTATTTAATGCTAGCAAGGGCTGGTTTGAAAAATGTAAGAAACAATTTGGACTTAAATATGTTTCTCCGCATGGAGAGACCGCCTCTGCTACTGGTGCCTGGTGGAAAAGCATTTGTGAACAATACGCAGATACAAGCCTGAACTAGTTTTTAATAATTACTATAAAAAAATAAAGGTTACTACTTCACGGATTTCGCCTATCACAGAACATAACCCCCCCGAAAAGCGAGGCTTCACTGTTTTGATAAAAAGTCTACCAGTCAAACATAATGAATAATGTGTGTTGGAGTGACCCCTTAGAGAATGTGGAAACATGACAGGCATTAAAACAATGTTCAGAAAACAGTCAGGAGCTTACCATTGGCATAAGTGATGGTCCTCTTAATGACATGGTGCATAACTGAAGCCGTCTTTTCACAGGCAGTCTGAAAAGTAAAAAGGAGCAAAGGTTATGTTGAAATGCAATTTTCCTTTAAAGGAAGTTCTGAACACCTTTAGAACTTGTTCTAAGATTACTGGAGCGTTTGACTGAAGACCGACCCTTACCTTAAGGTCCTTGGGATGATGGTGAGTCCAGGCCAGCAGCATGGCAGCAAACAGGTCCCCTGTCCCCACAAACACGGCGTCGACTTTTGGGATGTCCAGGCTGATTTTCTGGCTGGTACTGGTCCCATCTGGGTTCTCTGAGAAAAACAACAGGTCCCAAAGATCGACCACATTAGAAGACGGAAATGGACTTGCGGGTGCATATTAACTGGAAATAAACAGCGGAAAGCTAAAACAATAAAGAGAAATAAACAAATTGACTTTATTTCGTAGTGATCAAAGTGAAATGAAAAAGCATTCGCCTCTTAGTCGATGATTACAATAGTTATACTATTCAATCCTTCTGTTTAAAACATTATTAATAGGAGAAGAAATATGAATCACTCTGAAATGAATTAACTGGTTTTGGGATCCTTTGCAGCAACCACTCTCATAGGTAGTTTCTGTTAACCATCAATGAGGCGTTCAAGGCGTGAGTTCAAGTCGAACCATCTAATTTAAACTAGGTCCAGACTTTAACGAGGCCATTTCAAAACATTAATATTGAGCTATTCAGAAGCAGATTTATAGGTTTTTTTATTACATTTGTGCTGCTTAATAACTCAGAGCTAACTTTGATTTGTTTAAGCATTAAGACCATTGATGTGAGTGTGACATCATCCAGGGACTCAAACAGTCCATAGATGATGTCACACTCACATCAACTCAAGCAACAAATTCAACAACTCAAGCAAATTTAACACGGTTCTTCTTTAAGCAGTTTAAACCTTTAAAAGGAAAACCTTGATGAATATAAGCTGTACAGCACTACATGTTAGTAACACCACACTGAAAACCTAATAGTTATTAAATAAGCAACATCTACTATCGTCTAAAAACATGGCAGCCATATTGAATCATAAACTCTGAGCTGGTCATTGACAGATTCCAGCCTGTCATTTTGCAAAAGAAGGAGGGGAAAACATTTTCTCTGAACGTTTTTACGAATCTCTAGAGAAGCGGTGAGCGAATCTTTTTACCAGTGGCGTCTTTCCTGGTTCCCAATAAAAAACAAAAATCAAGTAAAATTCTAGGGTTGTAAGGGCTGGGTATCTTTCTCCAAAGTCCTGAATCGATTCGATTTTGATTAATAACGTTCTAAATCGAATAATTTCGATTAGATCTGTTTTTGCAACAATGAAAGTGGTTCAACTGTGTTTCAAAATACTCATGTATTTTATTTTTTCCTGTCTTATTAAACACATAGCGCAAACTTGTAAATCAGAGTTTAAACTTGAACAAAACTGTCTCATAAGTGCAAACTTCTTTGTGAAAATAAAAAAATTGAAGCCTCACTCACTCAGACATGCATGACCTGCATTAACTTCACTGCACAAACCATATTTGCAGCGTTGTCTGTAACAACTACAGGGTGTTTGCTGGTCAGCCCACAATTGTTAATGTCTTCAGTCAACCTATTGGCTATATTTGCAGCTGTCTGACTTAAAGTAAACTTGCAAAAATGTAAAGGAATCGATTCAAAATCGGGGGGTGGGGGGTTGACTTTCCTGCAGCATGAACAGAGTATAGCTCTCTTCTCTTAAACCAAGTTTAACAAATGGTTGCATCCAAGTCTAGATGTTTGATATCTTTTCACAATTAAATGAAAAAGAACAAAAACATGTGATGAATACAAAGTGCTGCTTTCAATTTTGAGAAGATATCGTATTTGTCAGCATCTTTTTTTTTGAAAAGCCTGTAAAATATGAACCCCATCAGATTTTAAATGTGTATTTGCATCAAAAGACAACTTCAGGCCATTCTTTAATTAGCGAACGAAGCAAATAGTTCTAAGGGTCTCAAATGGTCCCGGAGGGCCACACTTTGGACACCCCTGCTCTACAGGCAATCTCTTTGTATGATTTAACGTGGGATGGTCAAACCAACATAAACATCCCAACACGCCCATTAGAAAACACTCATCTCTGTTGCTGTGATCAATCTAGAAACAAAAAAAAAAATAAAAAATCAATTTACTTATTTTTTGGCTCCCAAGTGCCACCAAGAACTGGTCCCCATTTTTGGAGCGCAGATCTGTACTGGTGAGGACTACCGTCTCTGGACCCATTTCATGAAGCAAGTCCATCACCTGGAGAACAGAGAAGGAACCTGCTTCATCAAAGGCTAAAACTGACATTTGAATCCAAATTCAACACAGAGGAAATGTTGCCAATACTCACCTTAACAGCGTCTTCCTCTGTGTTTATTTTCTTTCCAGTTAACAACCTGATAAAACCATAAATGCGGATCACAAGCTTAGGGAAAGGTGTGTGACAGCAGCTTAAAGTGCACTTACTCTGCTTCAAACTGGTTTGGGGTGAGAATATCTGCCAAAGGAACCACTTTGTTCTTGTAGACGGGCAGCAGATTTTCTGGAACATACTGACAAACACAGAAAAAAAACATAACACTTTTCAAAGAGACTAAACATTCACAGATGAAAAACATATTTACAGCTTTAAACGTCCAGATATTTATTGGATCACTATAGAGATGCTGCAGAGAAAACAGATGGACATCTGATGACAGCTTCTTACCATAGCACCATTGTCTCCCATAACAGGATCGCAAACTGGAATAAAAACAACATTTGGCATCACTTAGGGACATGTTTTATTGTTTAAAGCTAGAAAGTCATCCATACCATACCTACCATATACCAAGCTGGGGGAGGCCTTCTTTAGTTCCTGGATAATATCAACCACCACTTCCAAGAAGGATATATCTCTGCTGTAGCCTTAGGGAAATAAAAAAAAACATGACATTTAATTTTACTTATGCCTTAGCTCTAAATGTTTCATGATGAGTGGAAATATTGTTCCATGCATGTCGTACTGCACAGACTATAGATTAGTCTATGGGTGTCCTCAAGAAGTTAAATATTAAAGAAAATCAGAGGTTTAATCATGAATCCTATTGCATCAAATTCAGATAATTTAGTCTTTTAAGAGCTAAAGATGTTTGCTTCAGAGATTTAGAGCAGATTGTTGAGAGCGTAATGTCCTTAAACATCCCGTCATGCATTCCGTCATGGCCACTTCTTTACATTCAGATATCAAACATGTTGGAATAAAATGTTTATAATTCCACTTTTGCATAAAATGACATATGAGCTTAACTAGTTTAGTGCTTATTTCCCAAGAGGATTTATTTAGAAAATGCTGGAAAGCAGATTGGTTGTCCAGTTAAGCAGTTGTCATTAATGGAAGACACATTTTTAAATGTGTCTTCCATTAAATGGAAGACACATACCGTCACAAAAATGTGACGGTATGCTTCTCCCCGCAGGCCTTACTGGGCAGGCCGTTAGCCGTGGCTTCGGGTCGGGTTCGGTTGTTCCGTTCCCCGCTGGCTCCCTCCCACGTCCGCCGGAGTTCTCGGACCAGCCCTGGATGTGACGCCTCGGTTCTGCTGCACTGTAGTCGACCAAAATCCCGGACGACTTTGAAATTCACCCCGGACATTTTTTTAGGTATGAAAAGTAGGACATGATCGGGAAAAGGAGGACATCTGGTCACATTTAATCAACAAAACCTTTGTGACCCATGCTGTACCTCCGTGGACCCCTTGTTCGATCTCCGATCTACTGAACTGTCTCCAACCAAACCTTTAGGGGGAGCTCTACATATAGCCCCTTGAGTAGGGACAAAGAAGAAGAATGCTAGCTCCTGTTAGCATGTTGGCTCGCAGCAGTAAGAGCTTCTACTGAAAGATGGGGCTACATCAGCTGTTTATTTTAGCTCTGGTGGGGTTGGGTCCAGTCTTTTCACTGGTTTGGAAGCTTTAATGTGGCAAATAAATGTCATAAAGTGCGAATTTGCGACATTTGTTCTTGCCTGCTGCTAGCATGTTCTTATGCTAAATGATAATTAGCCCCTTACTCTTTCATTTCCAAATGTGACTTCTCCCTCTGGTGGTTAGAAAAAAATAAAAGGAAAAAGTCACAGAAAAGCCTCGCCTTCTTATAAGCTGCACGGTTCAAAGCATGGGAAAAAAGTAGCGGCTTATAGTCCTGAAAATACCGTACTTTGATCTTTCAGTATCAACTTGTTTATATAATGTCTACCATCATCTTAAACCCACCTGTTAGAATATAGTCATACTGGTTGACCTTGTTGAGTTTGATGCCTTCATAGAGCACATTCAGCTCCTCGGCGGTCAGCACCTGTCCCTTCCAGTGGGCATAGCCTGAGCAAAAAACGCAAAGGTCAAAGGTCAGTGTCCTGAAAGCAAACTGGGTTTGATTGAAACCAAAACAAAACAGGAAGATGCCCCCCAAAATGAATAAATGTTGAAGGTGAGACATTTTTTTTTAGCTAAATGTTAACAGAACTTATTAAAGAAGGAAAAAACAACAACATTTTATTTAAAAAGATAACCCTCCCCCCATTTGCTATGCGTCTAGTCTCAATTTCTTTGTGCCAACAGGGGCCTCCACACTGACTGAATGGGAACCTTGTATTCTGGAAGCCTACTCCCTCTTCCTTTTGTTTCCTGTTCACCACTAACCTGGAATAAATCCCAAAGAAGCTGCTCTGACTGCTAATGATGACAGACGCACATTTCTAGTTTCCTGCACCCCAAAGTACCACTGAACAGTAAATGCACCTCTATAAGGAAAGATCACTGCAAAGCAGAAACTTGCACCATGGCTGCATCATTTACACACATCTGGAAGAAGTATGAAGATTACAGCTCAATGATTGATCAGAAAACCTTCCAAACACGTTTTTTGTTTTCCAAGTAACTCCAATGTAAATGTCTTCCAATCCTTTGGAGGAGGTGCATTCTTCCCATATTCTGGCACATGACGCTCAGAAAATAATCTCATCATCTCTGCATGCGTCCTGAGCTGTTCTACTTGCACAAGGCTGTAGCTATCCTTCCTTTCAGCAACATTTTAATACCCATTTCACTACACTGCATTTTTAGTTTTTCAGATGAAAATTCATAATAGTTTTAGTCACAATTCAGTCATTTCATATGTGAGGGTTTTAGTCAAAAATAAAACTCTGTTTTTGTCCCGTTTTAGATTTATTTAAATGTATTCTATCTGTAAATTACCTGCATATGAATTACACCTCCTATAAAAGTCAGCAAGAGAAGACAAAACAGATATACTGCATATCTATGGTATTTTGTTTAAAAACATGTGAATATATTATGCATCATCATTTGTTAAAACACATTGACTAAAAACCTGGTTTTTATTGATTTGACTATTTTGCTCAGCTTATATAGTCTAAAATGACTATATTTAGCAAAAAACACATTTTTTAAATGTATGCGACCTGTATGTGATCTCCTGTGTGAACTGTAGTCATACAACGCAAGTGTCCCGCATGCGCAGTAGAGGACCCAATGACGTCACAAAGCAGCGTTCTCTGTGCTTACGGAAGTAAACATGGATGGTAATGCTAACCATAAAAACATAAAATATTTTCAAGACGGTTAAATATAAATACTGTTCTCTGCATCATCATTGTCCACCATGTTTGCTTGCTGCCCAGAATAGTGACCTTTGTCGGGTATTAATGACATTCAGGTCGGATGAATGCGACCTGATCGTTCAGACACAGGTCGCATTTGAAAAGAACAGATTTGTATCGGATTCAGGACCATAGAGCCAATTGGTCTGGTTCGCATTGGAAAAAATCGTATCCGTGTTGTGGTCAGACTGCCATTAAAAAAAAATCAGACACAGGTCGCATATGGGCCAAACAAAATCGGATTTGGGTCATTTCTGGCTGCAGTGTGAACATAGCCAAAAAGTCTAAGTTTATTTTTATTCTTTTTGTTAAGATCTGAGGGCAGAGAAGAGCAAATGGAACATCCTAAAAAATTACTTTTGTAGAGATTTTAGACGAAGAAAACAACAATCTACTTGTAGAAAATGAACTGTTGTTGATACAAATTCAAAAGTAGTGTAGCTTAATATGGCTAACTGACTGAGCTAAAAGAGGCTAACCTGTTAGCTACTGATCACAGCTAGCCACAGCGCTACCCAGCTCTATCCCTTTATACCATGGTCTAACAGTTAGTTTGTTCACCATAAACAGACTTTTTTCAGTTTGTTTATCGATCAGGTAAAACTTCATCGGTCATTAGACACGCTAACGGACGCTGCGTGATGTTATCGTTGTCAGGGCAACCACTATGTTTTACATCATGCGGCAATGTTCAACCAATCAAGTAGCGTAACGTCACTGGCATGCGAAGGACCAAAGAAGATCTGGTACCTACACTGGCATATTGGCTAGTTTTTCTGACAGTAGGAAAGCAGGTATGAGACAGGGGAGAGACATGCGGCCAAGGACTACAGGTCGGATTCAAACCCGGGACTAAACCACAGATGATACTTCTGCAACCGCACATATCAAATGTCCCTTGGGTCTGGTCAAGAACCAGTTTTGCTGGAATGCTTCTGCACCGTCGGTCTGGAATTTCTAGGGACGCACAGCAGTTTCTCGCTAAAGCGCAAGCGGGAGCTTATTCGAAAACACGCAATAACACTCCTTTGGATCCCACTCAAGGATCTGGCTGATCTCCCTCCAGGAGTTGGCAGAGACCTTGGCATCTTTATATAATTTGTCTGAAGCATCGTACAAGTGGTTGTACTACCGAACCTCCTCGATTAACCTTTCGTCATAGTTGTCCATTGTAGTTGTTCCCCGGTTTTTAAAAACAGCGCGCCCCGGCACCGAATCGAGAAGGACGACCTCACAGACAGTTGGAAAGGCATACCAAGGACCAATCACAGCTGCTTTTTGTCTGCGCACTCTTCCACTTGAGGTCTGTGCGGGTTTGCGGCCGTCCGATGGATAGTCAGGGACAGATTTGATGGTTGCAGAGGCTATGCCTCATTAGCATAAATTGGCCTTAAGGGTGGTGCGCACTAACCACTGCACCACCTGCACACCCATCATTATCCTGTCTGTCAGTTCCCCTCTCACTTACTCCTCTCAATTAGCAAACATTCAGAGGCCAGAAACTCAGTGTTCATAAATCACAATAATAAATAAATTATTAAACCATTTCCTCTAAAGCTGAACCATTTAAGTTCTTTTCTTAGAAAAAAAAAATAAGGACAAAATTAAGCAGGTCTACTAGACATCAGAGCAGCTCAATGTTTTGTTCATAACAGAGATGAGTTAATAAACTCCAGGGTTTCTTTCAAGCATGTAAAACTGCTTTAGGCAACAAGGTAATTTGCTCCTGTCTTTGGATCCATGTCCCAAGTCCAACTGCACACATATAATTATGCAATCCAGCTCATTTCGGATCCTTCCTTACCAGTTTATGCTAATATAATCAATAATATATTCCTTACTTTCCTAACTAGGGGTTTTAAGAGTTTTTGTATTTGATAATCCTGATTAAGTTTAATATTCTGACAAGATATAAATAGCAGCATGAAGCAACAAAACAGAAAAAAAGATTAATGAAGATACTTTGACTGATATTTATTTTAAAAGAGATCCAAGAAGAGATCCCGCAGCGCTCGGTTCTGTTCTGTGGGCTGAACCTGGAGGAGACGGGTTTTAAGGCCCATTTATGCTTCTGACGCATAGCCTCTGCAAATGTCAAATCGGTCTCTGTGCCAAAAATCCTGAGTACGCGTCAGAGGGTCGCAAACCTCAAGCGGAAGTGCGCAGACAAAAAGCAGATATGATTGGTCATTGGTATGCCCTTCCTGCTGTCTGTTTGGTCGTCCTTCTCGATTCGGTGTGATCCGTCGAAGTTCTCGCGTGTTCTAGAATAGTCTCCCCCTTGCGCTTTGGCAAGAAACTGCTTTACGTCCCTAGAAGTTCCAGGTCGACGGTGCAAAAGCATATCAGCAAAACTGGTTCTTGACCAGACCCAAGTGGCATTAGATGTGTGCGGTTGCAGAAGTATAATCTGCCCTTTAGAAAACCATTAACTTCTCATTTTTCGGTCAAACACTAAGTCCACGTCTCTGAACCTGATGACCTCCTTTAAACACAGATAGATAAACCACACATAAAGAACATCTTAGAAGACAAAGTACAGATTAACTCTGTGTTTCACTGCTTTTTTCTGAGCTCAGTAATAGTACACTGTGTCTAAACACATTGCTTTAAATCCAAACTAAAAGAAGTCACTCTTTTAGTTTTTTGAATCACTTATCAGAGAGGGTTTTTTGTTTAAAAAATAAATAAAGAGTAAGATTTGGCTATGAAACTGGTTTTGTTTCCATCAGTACTGAAGGAACGGACATGACAGGCCAGACTAGTTTAGAAACCCATAAACATAACCTTAGTTCATCCCGTTGGCACAGAATCAGCTTTAACATGTCTTCTTGGAAGACTAAGCCATCATTAAGATGGTGGTGTTCCTCTGCTCAGCTCTTGTCCTGCTGTCGGAACCACATGTTGGCCAGACCAAGGCTGGACTTCTGGGAAACCAGTGGGCTGCAGCCAAAAACAAAACCTCACGGGATTGTCCAGACATTTAAATGAAGGAGTGATTCTTTTTAAAAACTTAATTTATGTTGTGATGGTCACATGTTCAGTAACACCACACAACCACTTTTTCATGTTTTAACACACAGTGGCATAAATGTATTGGTTTGTTTATTTTTATTTTGACAATATTAGAAGACATTAGCTCTAATTGTAGCGTGCAGATTTGGTTAACATTTGTATATTTTATTTTTTCAAATGCTTAATATTGTTTGTGCTTTCTTTTCTGGTGTTGTGGGAGAATGCAAAGGAATCTTGCTGACATACTCATTGCTCATTTTGTTCATTTTGTTTAGTAATAGTAATTTAAAATGAATCCTTAAGCTAACTGTTTAGTTATTTGTTGTTAAATATGTGTAGATGTTCTTTCTAACTCTTCCTCAGTGTGTCAGTCTGCTCTGATCAGCCAGTATTTAAGTCCCCTTTCTTTGTGCAGTTAGTTTGAAGTTGTATGTTTAACTTTGATATTTTTGCCCTAAGTTAGTCTCTTCATTTGACCTCTTTTAAGGGCATTGTAATCCTTGTTTGGATTGTTTTTACTTTGGGGAAATAAAACCCATTTTCTTGATAATCAGCACTCGGTCCCTCACATAGGTAAAAAAAAAGGACAACAATTGGAAAAAGTATTGATAACCCTTTGCATTTCTCACATATTTATTATACAATAAAACCACCAATGCTTGTTAGCATGGGATTTATTTGTAATTAAAGTTATTTAAGACAAAATTTAAATTAAAAAAAGAAACGCAAAACCATCCTGTGTTAGATCTTTTTTCCTTTTAACCCCATTTTGTTCAAAAGTTTCTTCTTCAACTCCAGTGTCTGCTAACCCTTTAGGTTTAATAGGACTCATGTTTAACGGGGATCCAAGGAGCTTCAAATAAACTACATCCAGTTTTTAGCTTGTGGCATAAAATGAAGATTGAGAGAAATCTTTAGCACGACGGCCACTTTGCTCAAGTGTTTTTGCGTGTAAAACCTTTGAGCTTTGCAGTCCAGCTGACTGTCCTGATGTGGTCAGGGGGGTTTCTTATGAAAACAAAGCTGCTTTTGTTTCCTGAGGCCACATGATGATGAGCAAATAAAGGGATCTGGTGATTTTTTAATCAGCATAGGATGAAGATTGATGGTCTTTTGTAATCGTTTGCGTTTAAGGAAGGAAAAGGTTGTCAAAAACCACAAGCCACACTGGTGCTGGGAATTCCACACGCTCTGCACCAACCTTACAAAGCCCGGTTGAACAGGCTTTGTCCAAACAACCCCTAACATTACAAAGAAAATATCAGTACCTTTTTCTTTCTGCATCACATCTCCCACGCTCTCTACAGAGAAGCAGTGGCACGTAGCAATACCCCACTATCTTAAAGAGACAGTACAAATTACAGCTGTTACATACGCCAACTTCCTCATGTGTTTGAACATGTATGAAGCTGTAAAACACAGAGGGCCTCGGAGCTTCTTTGATACCATGAATTGACTGAGCATCCCGATGTTACTTGAGGACACGACACTGACCTGTGTGATTGGAAAACTGCACAGAGTTGATGGAGTCCACCTCAAAGCCCAGCACCTGGAAAAACAGGAATGGAGCAGCTGTGAAAAGAGAAAACAATAACATCTCCACAAACGCTGATCCCAATAGGCGTCTCTGTTACACTGAACAGTGAGAACAGCAGGGATGAGGATCAAGTTCTGTTTTCCATCCAAAAGGTGATACCAGGAGAGGCCGCTAACGCAAACGTACAGTAAATGGATCAACAACGGGACTGGGAAACTATCTTTTTAGAACAATTTAAGCCCAGCTAGGCCCAAGGTCTGCCTTTAATACAAAATCTTTAATGTTTCAAAGTGGATGTCATGTTGAAAATAGCATTTTCTTTTAGCTTTTAGCTCAGTGGGAACCCAGCACTGGTTCAGAACCTTTTTAAATTGTTTGCCGTTTTGTGTTATTAAATAGAAATGGTTTTATTCATTAAAAGGCTGCAAGAAATTAAAGAGTTAAAGACTTAATTTGTATTAATTATAATTATTTTTTGCATATAGAATTAAATTAGCTTTAGTTTCTAAAAGACTCAGTTTCTAAAAAGCCGAACTGAGAAGATCTTTCATTTCAAAACTTTCAGTTTGAAGTAATTTACAAAAACTTAAATTTCTTGATGTATTTATTTAATCAATGATACTGACAATTCGAATTTCAATGCATTTCATTTGGAGTTCATTAAATATACAGATCGACAGTAGAATGCAAGTGAAATAGGCAGAAAAATTGTCCGATTACAAATCAAAATCTATAAAAAAGCATGACGTGCACTCGTATTAGCCTCCAATAAACCTCTTAAAAATAAAAACTGAGCTAAATACAAGCAGCTCCTCTATGAAGGCCTCAGCAATTTGTTAGAGAACATTAGTGAGCATCATGAAGACCAAGAGTCCCTCTGAAAAATCCATCATCTTAAAATGAAAAGAGCGAACCATGTCTAAAACCCACCAAGATGTATCCGACAGTCAGACAAGGAGAGCTTTAATCATAGAAGCAGCAAATAGATCCACAGCTCATAAACATGACATCTACTAGTCAGTCAATCTAAAAAGTTGTCCTATTTTTTGCAAGCATTAGAAGAACAGAGACATTTCTAAAGACACTCTGAAAAGCTCCCATCTGCAGTTTGCCTTGCTTCAAAGCCATGAAAATAATGTGAAAGAAGCTGCCCCCATCAAATGATACAAATATAGTGGTTAGGGCATAGGGCCCAGTTCCACAGACTGCCACTCTGGGTCTCTGAGCAAGACCCTCAATCCCTGATTGCTCCCCGGGCGCTGCACAATGGCAGCCCACTGCTCCCCAAAGGGGATGGGTTAAATGCAGAGTTTCCATTGTGAGATCAATAAAGTAGGGTTGTCACGATACTAAACTTTTCAACTCGATACCGATACCAAGTAAAATATTCGATACTCAATGTCATTTTCGATACCACAAGGATAAAAACAAAGACTCAAAAATTCAACAGAACTTTTTTTCATTAATAAACAAAATACAATAAATAGATAAATAAATACAATAAAAATATTTTGAGGTTGTATGCTGTGCACAATATTAAGCAAGCTTGATAAAAAAAACTTACAAAATTAAAATTATGTGTTCCTTCCTTGTCTATGCTTTACACTAGGGCTGCAACTAACGATTATTTTAAAAATCGATGAATCGGCCGATTATTTTTTCGATTAATCGATGAATCGGACCAAAAAAAAAATTTTATATTAACCTCTTTATTCCAAAATAAACATTTTAGACAGAACAAACAAGCACACAAGTACAGGTTGCTCATTAACTGTACTGGTGCAATATGAAAAATAAATGTTTGTGTAAAAACTACGCAAACTTACATGAGAAATGTAGCTGTACATCCACAAAATATAGGCTACTTTGGTTCATAAAGCGCAAAAAGAGACAGGCATTTTTGTTTTTTAAAGCCCCTAAGGGGTTCAACAATAGGTCCCCCCATTTCAAGAAATTAGTTTTTTTTAGACTAGAAGAGTTCTGCCTTTTAAGACAGGAAAGTATAGCAGTTAAAGTTGCTGCTTGAGAAAATACTGAACCATAGAGATAAAAATAGCCCTGTGATTCAAATTATAAATTGTATTTGGAATAAAAATGAGAGAACTAGGGGTGGTAAAAAAACACATCCTCCAAAGACAGATATTTACATGGGAATGTGGCAGATAATTAATTGACATATTACTGATCTTGCTGGATTTTGTTCTGCTTTACTTCCATAAATTGCAGGATCTTCTTTTCTTTATCTTTGCCAGAAGATTTAAACTTTAAAAGCCTTGCCCTCATAATTTGCAAGTTAATTTATTTATAAAGAAAATATAAACGCTGCTTAAACAAATGTAAATGAAATTAAAAGTAAAATAAGTAGCCAACCTTATCCCTGTCTGTAACCTACTAACAAGGTAAGGAAAGCATCAGATGAGCTACCTGAGAAACTAACGTTACGTTTCCCCACTTTAAAACCAAACAAACATGGTTACTCATCCTGCTGATCAGCTATCTTCACTGCCATCGAAGGCTCCAAAGTGTTTTCTTTTCAGGTGCTGCGTCATAACAGTGGTGCTTCCGTGCCATGTTAATTTCTTTTGAAAAAAGTTGCATGTTATCACTTTTTTCACTTTACAAAGCGCAGGCTATTTTAATTATTGTGATCAATTTGCGCCGTCAATCCCGGCGCATGCGCGCTTCATTTGCAGTCTGGACGCTGAGGGTAAACTCCTCACTAAAATCCTGCGGCTCTGACTGCCGCGCTGAGAGGGATTCCTGTGGGAGAGGGAGAAAGGCGTTGGGATGGGGGAGGCGCCCCAAGGCAGGCAAAAGCCGCCAGTGACACCGTAAAAAGTCGCCAGATTTGTCGCTAGTCGCTTTTTTGAAAAATAGTCGCTGGAGGGGTCTGAAAAGTCGCTGAGTTGGCAACACTGCAACTGCGGCGCTGACTCGCTCCGCCATATTTTTTTTTCTTCCCCCGGATGACGGCGGCGGCGGATGACGCATTAATCGCGCGACACAACTAATCGATGATTAAATTCGTTGCCAACGCTTTTAAAAGTCGATTTTTATCGATTTTATCGATTCGTTGTTGCAGCCCTACTTTACACACATAACAATGACACTAGACAAACCGGTTAAAAAACGAAAAATAATTCTCAGCAGCTGCACCTGTTACAGAAAAAAGTCTGAAACCGAAAATTGCACAGAATTATTCAATCACACTGTGTTCAGAAAGTGCATTTTCCTCTAATCTGCGCATAAGATGAATGACTGTTTAGGTGGCACTGGTGGTGGCACTGTATCGATACTTTTGAAAATAGGGTACTTTGAAAATTAGAATATTGTGAAAAGGTTCAAAATTGATGGCCCCTGGTGCCACACTCTAATCAGCTAATTAACTCAAACCACCTGCAAAAGCCTTTAAATGGTCTTTCAGTCTAGTTCTATAGGCTACACAATCATGGGGAAGACTGCTGACTTGACAGTTGTCCAAAAGACGACCATCGACACCTTGCACAAGGAGGGCAAGACACAAAAGGTCATCGCTAAAGAGGCTGGCTGTTCACAGAGCTCAGTGTCCAAGCACATTAATAGAGAGGCGAAGGGAAGGAAAAGATGTGGTCGAAAAAAGTGTACAAGCAAGAGAGATAACCGCACCCTGGAGAGGATTGTGAAACAAAACCCATTCAAAAATGTGGGGGAGATTCACAAAGAGTGGACTGCAGCTGGAGTGAGTGCTTCAAGAACCACCACACACAGACGTATGAAAGACATGGGTTTCTGCTGTCGCATTCCTTGTGTCAAGCCACTCTTGAACCACAGACAGCGTCAGAAGCGTCTTGCCTGGGCTAAAGAGAAACAGGACTGGACTGCTGGTGAGTGGTCCAAAGTCATGTCCTCTGATGAAAGTAAATTTTGCATTTCCTTTGGAAATCAAGGTCCCAGAGTCTGGAGGAAAAGAAGAGAGGCACTTCATCCACGTTGCTTGAAGTCCAGTGTAAAGTTTCCACAGTCAGTGATGGTTTGGGGTGCCATGTCATCTGCTGGTGTTGGTCCATTGTGTTTTCTGAGGTCCAGGGTCAACGCAGCCACATACCAGGAAGTTTTAGAGCACTTCATGCTTCCTGCAGCTGACCAACTTTTTGGAGATGCAGATTTCATTTTCCAACAGGACTTGGCACCTGCACACAGTGCCAAAGCTACCAGTACCTGGTTGAAGGACCATGGTATCCCTGTTCTTAATTGGCCAGCAAACTCTCCTGACCTTAACCCCATAGAAAATCTATGGGGTATTGTGAAGAAGAAGATGCAATACACCAGACCCAACAATTCAGAAGAGCTAAAAGCCACTATTAGAGCAACCTGGGCTATCATAACACCTGAGCAGTGCCACAGACTGATCGACTCCATGCCACGCCGCATTGCTGCAGTAATACAGGCCAAAGGAGGCCCAACTAAATACTGAGTGCTGTACATGCTCATACTTTTCATGTTCATACTTTTCAGTTGGCCAACATTTCTATAAATCCTTTGTTTTTATTGGTCTTCAGTAATATTCTAATTTTCTGATATGATGAATTTGAGATTTTCATTTGTTGTCATTTGTAATCATCAAAATTAAACAAAATAAACATCTGAAATATATGAGTTTGTATGTAATGTATGAATATAATATACAAGTTTCACTTTTTAAATGGAATTACTGAAATCAATCTACTTTTTCATGATATTCAAATTTTATGACCAGCACCTGTAGATGTTGGAGATTGGCCTGTTTTTCCAGTGTAGTACTGTTTCTCTGACTGTGACTGGCTGGATGTGCTCTCTTCATCTTTTGACATGGTAGCTGGCTCAAAGCTCGTCTGCCTGGCTGTGTGTTTCCTGGACGAGGCCACCCTTACAGCTCCTTTTTGTATCTCTACATCTGTCTCCTTGAACCCCAGTCGGCCTCGGCAGATGGCCGCTCACACTGAGCCTGGTTCTGCTGGAGGTTAAAAGGCAGTTTTTCCTCTCCACTGTCGCTACAAGCATGCTTAGTGTTAGGGATTGCATGAGTCATTGAGTCGATGCAATTAACTGGCTTTCCTTAGGTAGAAAACTTTGAATCAATTTGACTGTATGATCTGGTGAACTGTAAAGAGCCTTGAGATGACATGTGTTGAATTGGCGCTATAGAAATAAACTGAATTGAATTGAGACTCAGTTGTTTTACAAAAGAGAAGCAAAAATATGGAAGCAGTGGAAAGGCTGAAGAAAACATTCACTACAAGACCTGCAGCTGTCAACTGAAGCAAGGGAGCAGTATACAAATGTACAGAACAAGTATTATATTTAGGTCCCAATAAAACATAATCAGTCTTTTAAAATGAAGAAATGTTTAAAAGTTCAAAAGGGATGAAAACATTTACAGATTAACCTTATAAAAAGTGACAAATCTACCATTTCCAAATTAATTTCATACAGTGACGGGAACCTGTCTGGATCATTAAACCGTTCTGTGATGGAAAGTCATAGAATTAATTAGTTTAGGGTCGCTTCTAAAAGCAAACATCTTCTGTAAATGAAAAGTGGTGACAGGAGCAACGGCTTTTAACCTCACCTGTAAAGGAAATGTTGCAGACTTGTTCCCCACGTAACCCCTGACAACATGACTCTGGATTGACAAGATCCTACACTCCATGACAGTATTTTTAAAAGCACCCGAGGGAGATGAATGAAATCAAACCAAAAACCAAATTTAAAGCTCAGTGAAATGCTAAAAGTTAGCAAATTAGTGGTCCGCCATTGAAGGACACAAGCCGACGCCGTTTACGATGCTCAGGCTGGTAGCAGCTTTTTTTCTTCAGGCAGCTAAAGGGACACCTAACGTGAGGCGTTCAAGGAGTCGGAAGAAATGGGAACTTCGACACAGACAGCTTAAAGCTACAGATCAGGATAATTGAATTGCGGTTTTGGTTAAGGTTATAAGGATTAATTAATAACATCCGCGTCTTCACTTTGTATGAATTCAGATCTTAGAGGGGCCTGAAGTTAACCTCAAATACGTAAAAACCCAAATGCTTTTTCTTTCTTTCTTTTTTTTTTTTTACCTTAAAACTAAATACTTTATCTTTGCATTTTTATTTTATAAAGTAACAGCTGATTATTCATAAAATAGTGCTTAAAAATCACAATGTTCCACCAGTAATCTTCCTGTGTAACACATTCCAATAGTAAAAAGAAACATATAATGAACAATAAAGTGATGTTTAAAATAAAAGCAGTCTAGCCTCTTTAAGTGACCATATTTTAATGCTTTTAAAACTCCCTTACCTTTTTTATTAGGTGTTTATCAGGGCTAAAACTTCTATACATGTTTCATTTTTGGGCCGTGTTTATCCAGAATATCTTTTTTTGTTGCACACGCACAGCTTCCAACCTTAATTGTCATGTAAATAACCACTTAATGCAAATATGGTGTCTGTTTAAATGTTATTAAAATACCATTTGCATTTAATACAGAGATTTTTCAGATAACGGTGCATTGGTAACTGTACTACATGTGATTTTATATCAGCTACACAGCTGTGTATTGTGTAGCCTTTTTTTCACAGCTTGCAAAGCTGTATTATAGGTCTTCCACCTTATTTTGGTCAAACAAATCTGAGCTTTTTCTACAAATACAGCTGGTTTCAAGGTTTACATTGATACCCACAGTGAAAGACAGACAATTCATACTTCCGCAGCTTCATTTCGGTCAGGAAAACCTTTCTCAACCGTCTCTGCACATCAACTGGACTGGAACTGCAATGAAATTTGTATGATCAAAGAGTCATATTGAAGCAAGCTTGAAAAATTCAGTCTAGGCAGCTGGACATGGTTTTCTAGAAGATGTTTGCAGGGCTGCCAACTTTTCACCAAACCTTGGGGTGAGATTTTGAAATAGTTTGGAAAGGAAACCCTGTCAGGGTTAGATGAGGATAGGTGCAGCTATAGGTTGGAGGTTTTCAGAGGATTTAACTGAAGCAAAGTGGGAAAATGTGGAATTTTTATTGCACAGTAAATGTTACTGAGTAATAATAAGTGGTCTGTAGTTATGTGGAACATTTTTCTCACAATATCCATTATTTTCTACATTCTGGTGATTTTTAGAGAATTGAAATAAAGCAGAATAAGCCCTACTAAAATACTTACATCTTAAAAAAACTTTAAACAAAGAATTTCACAACTTTGTTCATTAATTATTCTATGCAATTCATGTCAATTAAACAATGGGGAACTAATAAGTTATTACTGGATAACTGGCACTGAAACAGGAACCAGTGCAATCGAAACCTATGCAAACTTCACTGTGTATGAATATTTGGTAATAGGCTAAGGATTAAAAGCTTCATTCATTATGTTATTAGCTTGTCTTACAATTGACAAAACAGCTAAACAACTCAGACCTTCTAGGAGGCTGTATATTTTAGAAAAACTCACCATGACAGGAGACAGCATTTCTCTGGATGTTTCAGTTTGGAAAGTGTGATGGAAATTAAGTTTTAAACATAATCAAAGGACCAAAATAAAGATAAATGAATAAAATAAGTAATAATAAAAGAAAAGCATCCCTGTTGTTTCTCCTTTATGAATCCAGGATAACTGAGATGTTCTGCACATCTTCTCTGTATGTGTTTGGTCTTTTTTGGGATGCTGATCTTTTGAAAAATAAAATGCAATGGCTATTTTTCTTTTTGTGGAGCTCCTATGGGTTTGAGAGGCAAACCTGGAAGCTTTAAGAATAAAAATATTTGTGTTTTTTTTAATTACTCCTAAATTCCAACGGGAGATTATTAAACTAGACTGAGCAATAATTATTTAACTTGGGAGGAAAACATGGACTAAAACTGGGACTAAAAAAAGCACCAGGTAAAGAGAAAACAAACCATTGGATGTGATCCTACACTCAGTCTCCACATCAGTACTTTAAGAAGGTTGCTGTATTTTTATTCATATTTACCCAAGTACAATATTGCTTAAAATCTTCAATAATTTACAAATAGAATTATCCTAGTGCAGATGAGATAAGATAAAAATAAAAATGACATACCTCATAGCAACTGTCTTTTTTCAACATCTGGCACAGTGAATAGGTGGGAATACGGACTGGATATGAACCTGGCAAGTCCTTGTGTTTTAGCACTAAGGTTGTATTAAAAACGCAGACTGGATTTTGATCACCATGGTATTTTATGCATAAATAGGTGGAATGGAGTTGAGTTTTAATCTCTGTCATTTTTTAGTGTGAGAAATTGAGAATATGGAGTGAGAGTGTTTCAAGACATTGAGATGGGTGAGTCTCACTCCCAATGGGTGAGAGTTGACAGCCCTGCCTTTTGTCTCTCATCCAAGAGACGTCCCCAGTACTAACTGATGGAGGGGAGCACTGAGATTAATATTAATATACTGGAGGTCTAACAAAGAATTCGGGGGGAAAAAAGAGGGCTTTTTTCTTCTGTTAATGGTTGTTAACACGCTGTCTTGTGTTTAGTTAGAAGTGAAGAAGCCGCTTGAATGAGAAGCAAAAAGTCTTCACATCCAGTTGCTTAAACTGAACTTTTTCAAGCTTCACCATGATGACTGAGAATCTTCAAAGATTCTGAAACAGTCTGCCAACATGCTAACTGCAGCTTAGCGCTTTAACCAATTACTTTGCCTGAAACCATTGTCAAGTTAGTAGTACTATGTGTAAAGTCAGATATATATCTAGATTTTTAAAAATTGTAGGTAACATATTTTTCTTTAAAAGATTACAGTAGTTTTTGACCCAGATAACCCCATGATGGCAGTCCTATAAAAACTCTGGTTAGGTTTAATGTGGTGGCAGGACGTGGTTTTTGCAATTAGATATCTGAAAACTGGTCAAAAGTCAAAAGTTTTTAATCAATACTCTCCGAAAAACAGAAACTGAAATTAACCGGTGTATTATCCACATATATAGAGTGATTTACAAATAACTGTGTTTTGTAAAAGACAAATATTGCAAGCATTATTACATAATGCTGTGCAACGAACGGTCAAGCAGTTTTAAAATCAATGGACCTTCTGATTTGCAGTATTAAAACGTCCCTGAGGATTAATTATCCTCACCTTTTGGCTTCTAAAGCTTTATCTGTGTTTGATTGCAATTCTCTTATTAAGCAGCAAACAGAGTGTTTGCTATGACAAAGTTTACCCAAAGGCTGCTACCAACATGCTTAAAAATAAATAGAAGGAAGTTGCACAACAGTTAAACTCAAAACCGTTACGTACTGAACATGCAGGCAACATTTTTATTGTGTAGATTGTTACTCGGAAAAAGTGAAAACAGTGCTACTGCTTAACATTTACAAAACATATGTTTGGGATAAAAAAAAAAATAAAAATAAATAAATATATATATATATATATATATATATATATATATATATATATATATATATATATATATATATATATATATATATATATATATATATATATATATATATATATAGTGACTTGTAAAGGAGTCTTTCCTTTTTATAAATTTATTTTATATCCACTCATTTAAAAGTGCTTTATTGGGATTTTATATTATAGACCAACACTAAAGAGTGGAAAAATTGTTTAGTGAAAAATAAATAATGCATTTTTAATTTAAAAGGTGTTGCATACATTTGTGTTCAGGCCTTCTTAAGACGTCACATTGCAGAACCACCTTTCACTGCAGTTAAAGCGACAAATCGTTTGCTTCTGCCAGCTTTGCACATCTGGAGACCGACATTTATCACCAATTATCACCAATACTTTTTTATAAAGTAGGACAAGCTCAGTCAAATTCAATGGAAGATGTCTGGAAAATATAAATTTTCAGGTTTTGGCCAAAATGATAGGATTCAGGTCTGAATCTTAATGTGACATTTTAAAACACATTTCTTGAACTAAACTATTTAGTTCTGTAGGCAAGAAAGTTCACACATGTGGTATCATCCTTATCCCCTTATGTATCTCTGTCTCCTACATAGCTTGTAAAATGTATAAACCTGAAACATCTTTCAACAGTAGTTTTATTTCCTTGCCACGCTCCCATAAAGGTCAGATTTCTGATCAGATCTTCCCACCAAAGCAGATGACTATTGCAGCTGTTCCAGTCACCATGGTCCTGCTTACCTGCTCAATGCTCCTTCTATTCCTTCCATCAGGGGGATGGTCATGTATTCAATCATTTGCACACTAATTCACGTCAGAAACCACTCCTCATTTTATCTCCATCAAAATACTCAGCTGAAATTTAAGCCCTGTAAATCTTAAATAAGTCACATCACCCAATCTCTACATTCATAAAATGAAGTAAAACGTTTTGTTTAGCCTTGAATGAAACCACCAAATTCTTTTTATTAAGAACCGAAATATAATTTTTTTCAGTATTTTTTTTTTCTTTTTTCAAAATGCTTATAATAAATGAAAGTATTTCTTTTTTATTTAAGTGTAGAATTTAAAACTATTGTGTTGTATTCTTGATTACCACTAGAGGGCGCAAGAGAACAGAGATACGCTACATGCTTCAGAGAAAAAAATACTAATACTAATAATTAACCTTAAATGTGCTCATTGCAAGTGTGGAGTGCACTTAAAAAAGCACATGGGATATTTTTTCATGCCTTTATTTTTTATCAGATAGGAGCATTAATCATGATTTGAAGTAAACCTGTTTTATTGAACAGGTCAGCCTCTTTAAAAGCATCAGATTTGATTTCTATGGGTCTTTGTCCTTTATTCAAACACTCATTCACATGGGTGTAGCTTTGCGTTCACCTGACGACCGTGTGCAAAGAAAGCACTTGATGAGTTTGAGGCACCTTTCACAAAC